TTCCAGATGGAGTCGGCGTCACACCATGGAAGAACCTCGTCATGTCGTCGCCAGGACCCCCTTTTGTCCTCTTTTGGAGTGCTGGGGTAAATGGGGGCGATGAGGAGTGAAGGTTGTTCAGTGAGGTTAGCTGGGATCTCAAGCTTGATCACTTGTGAGAACCCTCCTGCGGTTGACTGGATGTGTGATTTTTGCGAGTTGTGAGCTGTAGTGTTCAACCGCGTGTTCGTGCATGAACTTGAGAAGGTACATCTTCCATGCATTTGCCGTGCGCCATGTGATGGGCATCCACACTGAGTTGACCGAGTTAAGGAGTTCAAAGGCACTTCTGAAGCCACGCATTTGATTGGTTTGACTTTTTAAAAAGGAGTATTATGTAATGTATGTGCGCGAAGAATCAAGACTCAAGACACTGAGACTGTAACGGCTTCAATGTTTGGCAGAACCCTCCGGTTTTAGGCGGGGATCAGACTCCTTGAGACACTTTGAAAAGCATGGGAAGCATAGGCCCTGTAGCTTCGAGAAGAACCTGAAACCCACTCTCAACGGAGTGGCTGGCAGCCAGCCTTTGATTGTTCCTACAACAATTAATGAACCACAGAACCACATGCTTGCACGTGTTTGCAGTCACTAGTGCAGTCACTTTAATCCCTGACAAAGAAACCCTCTCACCTCCCTGGGAAGCTGTCCGGTGCCCCCCCGCATCCTACCGCCACTGCTCACTGAGGACCGCGGTGGGGGTGACACCCGTGGGGATCGGCTCATGGAGAAGCGGAAGAAATGGGTGGAGGCGGGGGATCGGGGGCCGATTGCAAGGAGACCCTGTGAATGATTCACGAATGACACGGCGCTTCCAAGAAACGCTTGTTTACCCCGAGTTTTTTTTGCCAAATTTTGGGAGGTTTGGGAAGTTGATACCATTCCACTGCAGGGGCTTAAATGGTATCCAACCAATTAAGGGTATTCACTCCGTAGTGGGTGCAACGTCTAAAGAGCGTGGCCCGTGGCCTATTTCTATTGGCCACTCTATGACTCGGTGTGGCAGCCAGTTTTGCGCCAGGAATGGAGCACTTGGGAGGAGGACGGGAGCGACTGCATCTTTCGATCCTCAAAATCCAAGTAGTTAATTGTGCACCACTCCCAGCCCCAGAGATTGAAACCCAACTGCATTCTGCTGTTGGGAACACATTGAACATGCTGATGAGGATAGAAGACCTCTGCAATCCGAACGAACAAAAAAAACGAGACAAGCCATCATTTCAAGATGTTGTTTCACTGTTTGGGATTGAATCGGATTGATCTTGAAAGAACCAGTATATAAATCCGACTTCTTTCCAGTTCGACACGCAGACGAGTTCGGGCCACCGGGGCCCACCGGGGGCCACCGGGGGCCACCGGGGCGACAGGAGAGACTCCTTCATCGGCTTCTGAAGTTGGGCATCGATGCCTCGGGGCCCGGACGCCCTGGGATGCCTCAACGGCCGCCTCGTGTTCGGGAGGGGAGTTGGTGGTGACTTCTCATGTAAGGATGACATTTAATATCATTTAATTGTCTCAAGAATCTCCAAGACAAAGCATCTTCCCTATAAGACTCATCCACAAATATTTCAATGATCCACAGCCTCAGCCTGCTTGGGATACAAGTTTTTCATTCCCAGACCTCCTTTCGTTCCAACTTCGCCTCTTCGTTCCAGCGACCTCGTTCGCAGCACTGAGGAATCCCAAGGCACGGCTCATCGACCTGTTGTTGGAAGCCGAGACCGAACGCTTCAACAGGCGGTCGCCGGTCCGTTTTTTCGGGTTCGTCAACCTCGGGGGGGGGGGCGGTGTGTGCTGGATCGAACAGGGATGAGCTTGGATGAGGCAATAGTGGTGGGTTGGGGTTCGTATGGTTCGTGGGTTGGTGCCACAGAGGAGTAAGATGTTGTGAGATGTTGGATTCCATGAAGCATCTCTACATTGATCTGGAGACTAGGCAGCCTAACTTTCGCAAAGCTGCTTTGCGATGCAGCATGAATGCATGACATCAGCGTTCAGTTAGTGCGTGTGTGCAAGGGGGCGTGCTCAAATCCTTGGAAGGTCTTGGATGGTTGAGTGAGTGGAATTCTTTTGAAAGGTAGCCTTTAGAAGCTGGCCAATGTGTACTGTACTCAAGGATATGAACGGGTGGTTACCCTTTTTAATTTGTGTATTGAACAGCTTGCCTTGTGTGGTGCCCTTGTGGTCATCCCAGGTGTTGTTTGATGTTGTTTGTGGGGAAGCAGACTTCTGTACTGGAGATAGAATCGTTTGGAGTTCATTCGATCATGTAGGACAGGATGCACAGAAAGACCATCTTAAGACCTTTATTCCGTCTTGGCAGAGGACCCGCATGAAAGAAACACGTTTGGACTCCATCAGCACGGGAGTCAACCAGACGTCCCGGATGGACCGATCCCACCGAGTCACCCACTTTCCAGATGACCGTCGACGTCCGTCGACGGCGCCAGGCAAAGATGTACGCCTAAAAGGCTGCAATTCATCGGCAGGAGGGCCTATGGCCTATGGGCCATCCTGGGCGTGATTGGATGGGTAGGTCATTGGAGCCTTGGTGGCTTTGGTGAGTATTTTCATCGGAAAGGTGCTTCGCATACCCGGTTTTGCAACATGGAAAGCCTGCTTGGTCGCAGGAATCACTGCAATTCACGACTTCGTGGTTTGGTTGGCCTTTTGTGGTGAACTGGAATTATTCAAAGGATGTGTTCGGAGGGTGTTTGGAGGCGTGGAATATTCTTAGGGACACAGAAACAACATGGGAGGTGAATTCAGAGAATCAACCACATGATCCACATGTTATTGCAGTCCACCTGATCCATCTCCACTCATTTGGTGTTTGTTATTTTTTGGAGCGCCGGACACCCACCTCCGCGGATACCGCGGTGTCCACCTCCGAGGCCTTGCCTGTGTGGGCGTGTCAGTTTTGGGCACCTTCGTGGTGGTCGGCGCGATGTTCGCCATCGGCATCTGAAGGCCTATAACTCCCAAGGTCCCAGGACGTCCTGGGCCTCGACATGAGGAAGAACACCCATGATAGTGATGGAGCCTTCCATGGACGGAGGCTAGCGGGGGTTTGCTAAAGGCGCAGTGTGAAAATGCACATCAAACCCACACAGGCATTGGGGCCCCAGTGATGATCTCAAACTTAACAGGAAAGGCTGTATCAGCTGGATGTACAAATAAGCCACGTAGTGCTGCAGATCAGTGCAGGTACTGCAACTCCGCAGAGCCAAGCATTGAACACACCATGTTTGGAAACGGCACACATGCCAGTGTATGAGGGGTCAACGCATATTTTACTCTCCTTATTAGATGCACGCTGTTCTTTGGACCTCAGGCAGACATCGCAGCATGATTTTGGCAGCAGTCCATGCACGTTTTTGTTCGGCTCTTCAGATCTTTTTAGACTAGTGCAAACTGTAGGTGCTCAAGACATGCCAGATGGAGAAGATGAACAGATCAAAGAAGGGAGAGATACTCCGAGATGTGACCACTGTGATGGATGTTACCAGACACCCTAATTCAACATGAGACGACTCCTTTGGAAGATCAACAGTCTTATGCTACTTGGCACCTTGGGTTCCAGGCTTTAAGCTTTCGAACACCCAGGTTCTAGCTTGCCAATATTGGACCAGAGCAACCTTCTCTTAATTTATTGACATCCTTCTAGCAGTCAACAATCGATTTCACTTCTGATTCAAATTCCTTAAGCCACAGATGCCGTAAACTAACATTTTGCCCTGGACTGGCCATCACTGGTCCACTTTTTAGGGGCAATTTGCCCTTGCTGCTTGATCTCTGTGGTGATTTGGGGTTTCTCTTTCAATGGATCAAGACCAAACGATAGCAGATTTCTGAAAGACTCGCAATTGATGTAGAGATCCTCAACCAGAGATGCTAAATTTACAGTCAAGACTCGACTGTATATTGCTTTTCTGGTGCTACTACCTTAAACTGCTTCTCTCTTCAGGGAATTACAAGATTGCTGTGACCAGGGCTCTACAAGCTGCGGTGTTGGGGATGGGGCAAAGTACAGCACAGTCCCTTTGGGTTTGACAAGGTCGGTCCCTTTGCTTCAATTCTGCAACCGCACCTCCCCCAACCGAACCGGAGATCGCGTGGCATGTGGGCGAGTCCCCGCTGCGGGATGGGTCACCGAACGGTGAGCCCGGAAGAGGGTGCTGGAGATGCATCGATGAGTGTTCCGTGGAGCAGACCCAGTGAAATGGTGCTGTAGTTGTTGCTTGCTGTAGTCTAAAGTCTACACGCTGGTACCGGGATCCAAAAGGGCTGCTTATAAGACACAACCCGGACCCAGACACAGCTTATCCTTGGGTCATTGATAGATGCCACTTATGGGGATTGGCAGAAAAAGGCCGTTGATTGGAGACACAAGTGTATTCCGGCAAACTTTTCCTGATCCATCCTAGACTCAGCTCAATATAGCACAATAGTTCCAGGTTCGTTGAACATTAGCTCTCATGCAGTTGTGAGTTTCCAGCACCCATGTAAACTTCCACATCACTATATAAGAGCTACAATGTTTGTGCTTAGCAGAAGCTCTCCTCAACACACTCGTCATATGCCACTCGTTTAGAGCCAGGCGTCGCCCGGCGTCGCAGTCCGCCGCGACGGCAGAGAGTTCTGCATCCCATGTTGCGTTCAAAAAGCTGCCGAAGAGTACTGCACAGAGTGAGTGAGTCAGAGTGAACAAACATGGTCTTCGGATGGCGAGCGGTGAGTCCGGGTCTGCTTTCAAGTGGGAGGAAGATCATGGCCTATTGCGAGAGGGAAAAGCGTACTATATAGAGTACATAGAAGACATACAAAAGGATACATTCAAAAACACGATGTCAAAAGGAGACAGACAGACATGCATTTGTAATTCAATAATGTGCAACCTTCTCAAAAGGAGACAGACATATTACATTTTGAATTTGCCGCCTCCCTTGAAGCCTCGCCAGGTGCTGAAATGCTCTCCAGTCGCTCACAGGCCAGGGATCTTAAGACACAGAAGATCACAGAAGACTGGAGGGTTCCGAAGTGGGATCCAGAAGAACCATGAAGAAACCCAAGCAGCATGTGTTTCCTTTTTTTTCGAACTTATTCTATAACTTCAGTATATATCATATGTAGTATCGTATGTACTGTATATGTCTTGGTTTCTCCTTGTGGATTTGTTGGTCTACCGACCAACCTTTTGATGCGTGCCACACCCACCGAGCTCCGATCTCTCGAACCTCGCCGCTCAGGCCACGATGTCCTCGCCCGGGGCCAAGCGACAGCAAGGAGATCGACACGAGCTCTGAACATATTCAGAAGTTATAAGTTTCACATAGTTTCACATAGTTATATGATTATACTTAACTATACGTTTCCTCCCATTTGCTTTTAAACGTTTGCCCATAAACACCACCCCCCCCCCCCCCCCAAAAGGCCTGCTGCTCGCTTTGTTCGCCTCAGGCGGCCGGTGATGCCCCGAAGGCCCTTGTCCGCCGAGGAGCCGAGACTCCCGCAGAACATGGGCGACTGAGAAAAGAAAGGCACTGAAGGTATGCCTCATACCATCCCAGGACCATCCGGGTGGATCATCCCAGGACCTTCCGATCATCCGGCTGGGAGGGCTGGGATCATATCTACCAGGATCATCCCAGACCTAGTCCCATGGTCTGGGTGTCCTGAGGTTATACTGGGACCCTATACCCTTTTCCAAGAGGTTTTGTTGGAAGTGCTAGGTATATATGATATGAGTCATGAGTCTGCAGTCCTATAGTTACTCTACATCTATGATCGGAAGGTACATTGTTGTGGAACTGCAGAACTATGAACAGAGGCACGTCATGAGTCCAACTCATGACCTCCCCCCCTGCCCCGGTGGAATGACAAGCTTTGGCTGAGGAGGTCACGTCAAGGAGGCCCTCTGTGGCGTTTGGATGTCTTTTGTACCTCAGGAGCAGCAATCCGAACGTGAACGGATGCATGCCAGGCCCTCAGAATCCGATGCTCGGAAGACGGTGGAAGATGTGGAAGACTCTATTTGTTACTTCTTTCTTGGGCCTCAGTGTGTCGGGAAAGAATGCGTCCGGTTTCCTACGAACCAGCACGGAAAGCTAACTGCAGCCACAAGAGGTGGCAGAACGACACGTCAAGCAAGACGGACCCAGGTCGCAGAATCGTACAATCTTGTGCCCTTTCCAACTCACTTTCGGATTATTTGGGAGGCTCCGTGATTCTGAAGACATCCTTAATCTTTAGCATCATTTTCTTCACATACACCTACCGGTGCTTCATTCCAAGTTCGGTTCTCCACAGGCAGAGGCTAGAATCCTCTTCTGCAGGCAGAGGCAACTGGTCCGTAGGGTAGCTGGATCTCGAGGTCTCCTAAGGTGACTAGATCTCAAAGATTGGCGCCTTCAACAAACATTCCGGCAAACTTTTTTTGGGAGACGCAGATGAATCTGTGTGGAGACGCCGCCTGGAAAGTTTTTTCAACGCATGCCCCGGGGGATCTTTGTTCAAGCAGTTGCTGCTTTGGCTGAGGATATGGTCCGAGAGTTTGCGAAGCTGGCAGTGAAGGGCCTGAATTGTCAGTGCGGGCCCTCAATGAGAGTTGGAGGCAGCGTTTGCTAGGTGCTCATTGATTTTTGTTTGGGGAAGTTATGATGTATGTTCATGCATGTTCTACTTACTAGTTGTTGAACGTTGCGTAGTGATCATGCTTTATATATATATAAGTTCCTTTACCTGCAATATTAAGGAATCTTGCAAGGTTTATATACACAGTCACAGCCAGTGCTAAATGAGAGGTTTAAAACATGTAATTAGACTGCAAGGAAAACTGTGGAAATTTGAATCCTTGCCTTCATAAACAACAATGCCAAAACGGGATAGAGAAGACACCAGGAAAACCCCCAACCCTTTGGAATGCTTTGGCTCATCATTGAACCGTCCATGTTGGCAGAAGTTCCGGTAACACCCAGCCTCATAGGTGTGGGACATTTGTCTTTCAACGGAATCCCGCAGCAGGATGCTGACGATGGGTGGTCCACCACGTTCCTGTAGCTACTGCTTCGACAAGGTTGGGACTGTCGGGACAGCTCGTGGCGGTGTGCAGCTATACTTGTCGCAGAAGACCCCTTTCTGCTGGCCACGGATCAATCATCAACTGGCACGGTCCAATCACAACTGCCATCCCACCCTTTTGAGAGAAAGAGGAGCAGATTTTGATGATGGTGTGGATTGGTAATGTTTTGGTCAAGTTTTGGGTGCACTGAGGCCTGCTGAGACTTTCAGAAGCTTTTATAGGTGACCTGAGACTATACTATATACAACCACCCCAAGTATTATTTTTTTTTGCACAGCCAGAGGATTTGCTTGGTCTTGGGTCGGACATTTGAAACTCTTTCGTAAATTGATAACTATATAGTAGTTTTTGTTTTCACGTGCTTTCACGACTCCCACGGAAGGGGACAGTATATTTACGTGTCCCTTTGGTAGGCAAACTACCGACATGTCTATGTGATCAAGACATTGTGTGATGGACATCCTGCTCACACATACACAGCCCTCAAGGGACATGCAAGAACTTCCTCTTGGAAGTAAAAACAACTTTTGTCATGGTGAGAAGAGTTAATTTGTTGCTCAAAAATCAACCCCACATCCGCATCACTTGCTCCTCCCACGCCTTACGCGCCTTCCACGTTCTGGCGCCTCACCCAACAGGTGCTTCGCCGCTTTACGATTTCGGTGGAGGGCGAGCCCTACCTGGACCTCCAGTCCGGGCCGACGGGGGGAAACACGTGGCGAGGGGTCTCGCGGAGCTGATTGCCCCAGCAAGGTAATTGCTGTAGTCATCAATGTGATTGATGTGCTCTCTCTACACGTTTTTCATATTTCCTCCTCCTCATCATCAGCAGAGTGCAGGCTCTTTGGGCTGTCCAATGATCCAAGTATTTCTGGAGCACATTCACTTAGTCCAACGTCAATGTCCAAGAGACTATGAAATACTAGGAAAACACATAAGAATACTGTATATAAATAACATCAGGAGCCCCTGACCACAGGAGGATCCAGCTTTGAATGCAGAGCATATGCATCAGAATACACTGTGGCATGAACAGAGGGAATGTACAAGCAGTCAACATCACCCGCATGGTGAACAGTTTCCGGTGAACCGACAAAATCATGCAAGTTGGCTAGTCCTTGTTCTGAGTGGTTTCCAGAATGTTTTCCTGGTTGGTTCACTCATGGTTGACTCTTTTCCAATGGCGGCTGTTTAGACCGTTTGAGGCTGGAGCAAGTGGTGGATGTCAAGAAGGACAGTTGGAGGGACAGTTGCAAGATGTTGCAACGGAGTGGTGCTTATTTGGTGGGTCTGACAGGGTTGTTGAAAAGGGCGGTGTGTGGGCGCTGGGCATCGTATTTCAAAGGTACCAAGTCGAACCATTTTCGAGATCCTACTTGTAATGTGCTTACCCATCAAGAGAAAGTAGGTGTGGTGTCGGATACGGGTAAACAAAATCAAGAACCTGCCCTTCAGGGTTTATGTTGGGAGTTCCATTTTTGTGCGAATCACTTTGTGCAGCATCTCTGATGAGGAACAACAAGAAGTACCAGTATTATTACTATTTGCCCTGTAGATATATGCAGATGCTGTATGGAAAGGATGTTAGTAATATGGAAATTGATGGAAATTGTTATAGACAGGGAGCACCTAATAGAGGTAATTAAAGATGTATTTATGTACATTTACCTTCGCCCGCACTCCTGACAGCCTGCTCCAATGTGGGATATATAAATAAGATGTTCGGGCAGAACTTCATCCAGACACGGATCACCCAAGGAGTCAATGCCACACGACCAGATCACTCCCTGGAACCGCAAGCTAGTTATATGGATGGCATGGCCCCAAGTTCGGATGACCGTTTTTGCTTGCAAACTGGTGGTTTTCCACTTCCATGTGTCGGTCCTTAGGTGTCCCGAAAAAGAGGAAGAGACCTTTCTGGGCACCAGTCCCCCTTTGTTAGATGCATCAAAACGTTCGTGCTGCAGTATTTCTCAGTGTTTTCTCCCAAATTGAGCAGCAGGAGTTCTTCCTTTTTCCATCCCCCTGGACCTAGACCGGAAACGCGTTGCGTGTGAACGACGCACGTCTTCTGAAGCTTCGCTTTCTGCGTGTTAGGATGTGATGAACACGCCTTTCGCCGAGCTTCTCAGCTTGCCGCCGCCGCATGTTGGGCGCTGAGCGGTCGACGGTGCTGAGAGGATTGGAGCCGGAGGTGGGAGGTCTTTTTGAATCAGAAGTAAACACAACATCTTAAGGAAAAATATAGACAAAAGATGGGTAGGAAAAGAGTCTTCGCATCTCGTGACCCCAAGACATGTGATTTTTATTTGACCTGAATAGGACAAACACTTCTAAGGCACTAAGATATATGATATACATCAAAGGCTACGTGCTGATCAAGCTATGACACACTTGGTGACATGTGGCCATTGGTCCAAAGGACTGGCCCCAGCTGGGTTTGACTATTTAGAGTGTGCACTTCTATCCACAACATACCCAACAACAGTCCAAACAACTTATTACTGTATTTTATGTTACCCATACTTCTAGGAAAACTGCCAGATCCCACCAGATCCCTCCGCTCGATTCGTGACTTTTCGAATCGCGATCCCATTCGTGGCTCAGTCGGTCTCCGGAGAGCTTCTGAAGAAGAGGGTGGTGTGCTTGAGCTACAAATCCAAACTTCAGGACGCCAAGTTCAGCGTCTCGTGCTGTCTTTATTTTTTTTGTGTGTGTGTGTGTGTGGATGTGGCACTGAACAAGTGCCCAGGGTAGGTGGTGATGTATTGGAAGTTTCAATCGATACCCTCAAGAATGATCCGATCATCAATCAACAGAAGTTGGGAAACCATGGGTGAAGTCTTTCGTTTTTGATCCGAGACCAGCAGGAAGAGGTTGAGTAATCCAAAACTCTAAAGGGACTAATGCAACCACTAAGCCGTTTATGCTTCATGACTGATTGATCCAACTCGCCAGGAGGAAGTCGTGGCCCTGTTGATGCCCAACCAGCCGGGAGTCCTGGCAAACCGGGATACATACGCTGGACTGCAGACATGCCTCTGTTGTATTGAAAAAACACATATTACAACTACGTTGAAGTGGACTTTAACAATTTAAGCTGTTTGAGGTCACTGTAAAAACAGTAGATTAAATCCTTGATTTGTGACACGGGGCTGGCTGTGGAACAGTTTTTATCATGAAGGTTTTGTGAAAAGGTCTTTGAGTCTTTGAGCTCGTTCGTGGACATAGACCTGTGCAAGGATCAATTTGCAAGGGTAGGCACGTGTCTACATTTTTCTTGTTTTTGTCGAGCAACTCTCCAGAGCTTGGAGTAACTGAGTAACAGACACCTGAGGTACGATCAGGAGCGATTCTACAGCTGCATGAAGATCCTCAGGACTGGAGCAGCACCAGAGCTACCTTTGGAGTGGGTGGTGAGAAAAAATCGCAACGCTGCATGTTGAGTTGTTTACGCACCCGACCCAGGGTTTTGGGTCATTGGTCATTTCAATCAACTAATTCCAAGCTCAACAGTTCCACAGCTATGCGATGCAAACCAGCCGGATGTTGCCCTATGGCCCTATGGCCCTATGGGTCACTACCGGAGCGTCGTCGCACCGGTGCGTCTTCACACCGGTGCGTCCAGGTGGGCCCTGGAGATGGAGATGAAGCCCCGAAAGAGTGAGGCACAATGCTAGGAGAGAACGCCCAGGACCATGGGGGTTTGGATGTCCTTAGGTCCTTCTCCTTTTCCACCGAACTCCGTCTCTTTGGTTTGGCTTTTGGGGCGAAGGAATGCCGCTTTTTCATTCGGGAGCCCGGGACTCTCCATCACTCCACGACTGACCCATGGCTCCAGTCTTGAAGGGCTCCACTGGTTTGAGACACGAGAATGGACGGGCCAAGCATGGCCAAGCACTCCAAGTGACTGCAACATCTTGGAATGAGTCACCATGCAGTTTAAGCGGTGTTTGGGACACACCAAGACATCTTCAAGCACACTAATCGTTTGCCAACTTACCACTATAGAATGTTGTCATCAACAGGTCTCTGGAGGGTATACAGGGTTCCCAAAACTACAGGGTATGGCAGTATGGCAACCTCACCAAAGGAATCGTTGTTCCTGATCTCCCCCTCTTGCTGCCAGAGACCCACTAAATGGATCTAAATGGAGCGAGCAGATCGCAGACCCCCAAAACGGCGTCCTCTCCCGCCCGGTGCATTGACAAGTTTCACCCGGAGATCTCAGCCGCTGCGCAAAGATCGTGGGAGAATGCCGCTGGCGCCTGTTTTTGAGCGTAAGATAGGGAGAATAAGAAGCATCACCCGTTGGATTCTCGTTTAAGACCTCTACCTATCCCGGTTGCTCGTTTCAGTCGTCCAGGTTCCATTCGTGTCAAGTGTTGAACAATTCATGTCTTTGGTGGGGATTTGTTGGCTTTAAGATCCTTAAGCATACTAGGCAGGAAGCAGATCAAGCAGTCACAATCCTGGAGACATGAACAATACCTTAGCCAAGCTATGCCAAGCTCCAAGCTCGATGTGGTGACACCCCGATGTATCACCTGGAAGCGGATCTGGTTGATCCAGGTGACCTCAGTGAGGTGGACGGCCAATGGGTGCCCGGTGGATCCACTCGTGAACAATTCCATTTCCAACCCGCTAGCCTCCACGGGTCCACTACAAGGATGAGATGTATGAGGTATGTATAGTGGCGGTGATGCAACAAGGGGCCCGGGTCATCCTTATGGCTTCAGCTGACCGCTGTCTCAGACATTAGATGCACAAGATCATCACGTGAGTGCTCACGTGTTCACTGCATGCATGCAGATGCCGATTTGCTTCTCTCTTGCTTCTCTAGTGACTCGGAATCCTTAGATACTCGACTGGGTGCGACCGTTGAAGCACTGAGCCAGACTGAACCAGACTGAACCCACAACCCACAAAATCAAGATTCACTTCGGTAGCCCTGAAAAGGACTCTGCCAGATGATGCCGACCCCAGCGTTGAACACAGACAGCTTTGTTGATGGAAATAACGAGCATGTCGCCAAAGCTGGCGCAGCTTCTTTGGCCCTTGCTCTGGGCTTTGGTGTGAGTCTGAGTGGCTGCTCTCAAAGTTTTCAAGAAGACTTCATCCATCCTCATCCCAAGACTTCAAGAGTCAGTTGCATCGCAGTTTCATCAGGGACACTCATTCTTGGAATCATTCTTTCACTGCCGACGCCGTGCAGACTGATCCAAAGTCACTTTGGGTCCAAGGTGCACACATGTGCAGACTGATCCAGACTGATGACTGATGTTTCTTGGACCCAATGTGACTTTGAATCAGTCTGCACCGCCTCGACTGGGTGTGCGGAGAGTGATCCGCACCACTGGACGAGGCCTACGTCCGGAGTGAAGAGGTGCAACGTGGGCAGGGTAGTCCAGCCAGGACACCCAGGTCTGGGATGCTCCTGGAAGTTTGTTATGAGATGCTGTGGAAAAAAACATTAGAGCTGGTTGGAATCGGAACCACACTTGTTGGTTAGGCTTTCTCTGAAATAGGGATCCGACGTCCCGCAGGGTACCGCAGGGTACTGCAGGGTACCGCAGGGTACTGGGTCTACTGTGGCGACGTCGCTTCATCCACTCTGGGACGACCGGCCCACCAAGTGCATCGACGCTGGAATTCTCCAGTGTTTCCACACTAGAATTCTTGCGACTCCCTGGTGGTAACAGAAACACGCAGTTCTACGTACTACGCACCTTTAGCCTTCAGTATCCTTTACTTGGTACTCTTCCAATTCTAGGCGCAGCATGAACCGTTCTCGGCTCAGGCAGTATGGCGCAGCACTAAACTAGGAGATATCGGCATGCATGGATATGCAGAAACCCGCTCTTTGCAGAAACCCATGCCAAGAGTGGTTGATCAACCACCTCCCAAGACCGATTTGTTAAAAACCTGTCTAATCCACCGGCTACCGGGATGGCTACCCACCAGCGTCCCAGACTTTCTCTTTGACGGATCTGACAGGCCTCGAGTGACCGGGGAAAGGCCTTCCTACTGCCCGAGACTGAGAGCTCCCGAGTGCCGAGTGACTTGGTTTCATGTCCCCGACGTTGATGGTCATCCTTATCAGTAGACGGAACGGATGGAACAGACAGAAACAGATTCAACATTCAATCAACAAAGAACATGTTCCATGATTCCATTATCCTAATCTACTTGAGCACATTCAAAGGGGGGGGTTGTTGACACCACCCTTGTTTGCTTCCCGAGTGCTTGATGCTCCAAACCAACGACATGTGATCCGTGGCTCGATCCGCGAATCCCCAGGTGTAAGGCTGCCCTATGGCGCAAGTGGTCCGAGCGTGGCCCTGAAGAGGCGCATCAGCTGGAATTACCGCATCGTGACCGCTGGATCCGAGTCATCTGGAGGTGAGACGAAGCAAGAGGAAGGTCGACATGTTTTGAAACGTTCAGTGTTTGATGCATGCTTTACCGCATTTGAATTTAAAAGAGAGGACTTTTACGTTCGGGGCTCGGATCGTGCTTTAAAATGGAGGTAACATGAGGTAACCAAGCCCGACATCCAACATGCATGACGCGCCCCGACGCTTTTTCCCATCGCTTCGGATGGTTTTGGGCCGCAAACGGCCGGCTTCACCGTCATGGCAAGGTGAGCGCCCTGGTGAAGAGCACCATGCAGGCAGATCGGATCGATATGGATCGAGCAGCGGATCGCGAAAAGGCACCCAGTTTTTCTGCCGGACTGCCCAGCCAGTGGGGATTTGTACAGGTCACAAGGACCAAATCCGATCTTGAAAATTGTTTGGGATAGTGTTTGGGGTATCAAAACATCTCCAAACACCCCGAACGGTCTGGTTGTCGCATTCTTCTTGCCTTTTGCCCAAGATACTGCTGGGTCATGTCGGACCATCTACACCAGGTTTGAAGCCACCATAGCTTTTTCGTGCGGCCAGGGCAGAGAGGAGCTCTCCTACGAACAGGCGCTTAGCTTCGGATGACCGGCAGGGTACCTGTATGCGGGGCGTCTGCTGGCTTTCCTCCCTTTGATGCGCCAGGTACATGAATTGGCGTTGAGAGGTCTTTTCAGGTTCAAGATCTTCAGCGGGTCACCTGTTCTCATGAATGAGGAAATGAGCTCTTTATTGCAGGTTGTTTGTCGTGCGTGCAGGTGTCGGGTAGTTCGGGGTACAAGCCGTGGTAGCTGAGGAACCACAGCGCATCGCCTTCTCAGGTCGCAGGTGGATTTCCCTGATCACTGATGGTGCACGTTCCCAGGTCGATCCCTCCAGATTGAAAGAGCAACAAGACCTGGACACATCAACACCACCGGAAAACCACCAACAGCAACAGTGAACTACCTCGTGCCAGTATACCCTGATGCCATGACGCTCGGTGCCACACGACTGTGACCGCCCCCTCAGACCGCCCGCATGCTGGCCGAACGGCAGCTGGCGCAGTGTGCCCGGGAGGTGCGGTCGAAGGGCGACCGCATCATGGTGGACCTCCCGGGTTGCTGGTGATTGCTTATGATACCGGATTTCACTTGTGAAGTTATATATATATATATACTGTAGGTATCTGTAGGGATTTCTTTTGAACTTCAGCGTTCTTTTCGTGTGTCGTTTCCGTCAAACAGGATCAAACAGGTTCCATGATGTTCCATAGTATTCCGTCATGAAACTCAGAAGATCTCAGAGGTGTGGGAAATTCTGGGAGAATCATGGTGCATCCAGCTCTAGAAGGTACTGGGTGCAAAAGATGTTTGGAGTCTGGATGTTCCATGATGTCCTGGGATCAAAACAGACCAAAATGGTTATAAGCACATTTGTGAGCATGTGGCCTTGGAAAGCAGATGAGAGCAAGAAACATGCGACATCATGCACCATCCTGCTTCTGTGGCTTCTGCGGCTTCCGTGGCTTTTGGCTTTTGTGGTTTTGTTGTGTTTTGTGGGTTCTGTGGCATCTGGGTTCTGTGGATGTTGGTTTCGCTTCCCTGGCTCATGGAAGAGCTGGACAGCAACTTTAGAGGAAGAACCAGACAACGGGTACAACAAGGACCATGAGAATGCTGGGTCATGGAAGAGCTGAGCAGCACCTTCAAAGCAAGAAGAAGAAGGAGAAGAAGAAGAAGAGCAAGCACAAGCACAGGCAGAAGACAATCAAATGCACAGAGATGGGCCAAAGAGAAGGGCCATATTCGCCGCTGGATAGATTGGTTCAGCACAGAACTCCCCAGCGCCCCTTGGACCGTTCGGGCGCCGTTCGCGGAACGCGCCAGGTGACATCTGCCGATCTTGAAGCTCATGCGGCTGGCCAGGGAACGCAGAGCCTGGCAAAGCCTGGCCGAATCCGACCGAAACCGGCCGCAACGAGAAATGGTTCCGAAACAGTCTTACGAACTGGTCATTCCAGTCTATATTAATTAATAACTAGTATATATAAGTAGGAGACCAGCTACGTACTGCTACGTGGAGGTGTGGTCAGTGGTAATGAAGATCTTCTTCTCGGGGTCAGTTTTCAGATTTTTCAGAGTTTGTTTTTGGCGAACTTATTTTCCACACATGTACAAAGGCATGGCGCTCCCGATCACCAAGCGTGGATATCATACAAGACAGGCAGTGTTTCCCCGACACAGATCACAAGACTTACACTATGTTTTTTGTAAGTTCTTGACAACGGTGAAGCCGGAATACCTTCCGCCAGCTTCAGACATTGAAGCTCACAGTATGTTCTCACACCAAAATTCTTCCTTCAAGGGGCCCTTCCTCTTCTTGTGGTAGTGAACCTGTCAGACCCCATGTTCACTCCCACAAAAGGAGAACCGGTTCTGAGATTCTCACCACACCAGGCCTCCTTGAAAAAGATTTAGTAACTAAGGGCATCTCGCTGTTAAGAGCAAGGACGCTACTAGTAGCTCCTGGCCTTACTACTAGTAACAAGAAGCTACGAACGTAACAAGGGCATTGCTACTACTAAGGCTTACTAAGGGCCTCCCTTCAGCCTAACCCGACCGGTCGTCACGCCGCGCCCCCTCGGGGGGGCCGTCGCCGGGCCTTGATCGCTCGTCTCGCTCCCCAGGTCGCTTGAGCGACGCTGTGGTAGATCGGCTGGTGGCGATCGAAGGCCGAACGGTGGGAGTGGATGGTGTGGATGGAACGTTTGGATTCCAAAAAGGACATTGGATATAACTATGTGGATATGAACATATGAAATATTGAATTGGAGATCAAACCTCCTCTCAACATTAATTTACTGTGACATATTTAAATTCCTTGGGCATATGCGTAATATTATATCGAATTATATTCGAGCTCGTGACTTGACTTTGCATTTTGCGGTCACAGATTGATAGATTTTGGACTGAGTATCCTCAGCCCCTACTGATTGGGTGTATCCTCCACGGGAAGATTTCTTGAAGTCACAGTATCATCGAATGTACAGGGGCATTTTATGTCAACATCACGCTGTATGTTCATCACTTGGGAGGTCTGGTCAACTTCACCGCCAACATTTCGGATGTCCAAAGCCACGAACGCTTGAATGCCATGCAGACATTGGGAAGGAGATACTGTAGGGCGGAGAGGTTTATGGCACCACCTTGGATTTCCGGGCCTAGTTATATACTTGACACAATGGTTAGGGGACAGTCACAAAAGTGCATTTCTGAGCCCAATAACTCCACAACAAACTGATGTTCCATGTTTTTGTCGATTTACTATCATTCACTGCAAGAAAGACTCATACCTTGCGATCTAGTAGTTTGGATGTTCCACAAAAAGACCACCTCATTTCCATATGCGCCTCTTCCAATTGCTGCGACCCCATCGTCCAAATAGTGTTTTTTTGGAGTGACCGCATCTGCCAGGCTCTGAGCCCACTCTGAGCGCGGAGGACAGGGTTCGCACTTGTCCGTGGGGAACTGGCATCAGGAGACCGACCGGTTGACCGACCTACCATGGTGGACGATCGTCGGGGGAACGGGCCACGACCCATCGCCTGGTGTTGGGCCTCCAGGTGGAGTTTGTTCTGGGGATCGGAAAACTGGGAAACCGCACGTTCAGGGTTGGGGATCTCAAAGGATTTCCAAGAAGGAGGAGAGTCTTCAGTTGAACTGGGGAGGGAAGAGCAAGGACACCAAGGGCACAAAGGCCAGGCTTTGAGGATGAAGCAGGAAGATGAAGTGTGGTTGAAGTATAATTGCTCACAGTGGCTTTAGTATGGATTGGCAACACAAGGTCGCCTAGTTGCTTTTTGCGCAGCCACCTCAACTCAGGGCTTGCAGGGGACTCATATGGAAGCATGACTCCTTTGGTTTTCCCTGTTGGGGAAACCAAGTCACAACCCCATGAGCATCCGGAGGATCCACATGAAGCATCGCTTGAAGAGGGCCTGTTGGCCGGCCGGCTTCTCCTCGCCAGCCTCGCCTGCCGATGTTGGGCTCCGAGTGGTGAGACCGACATGTTCACTGCACGGATCATGAGCAATTGACCGGATCATGAAGCAAGCAGCGCATCGCTACGGAACAAGTGTAAGCCGCTACGAATTAGGAGCAAAGACGCGAATGACTGGGAAGTAACTCAGTAAGCTCCCTTGGGGCTCTGCAATCTCAATACCTGGAAGTCCAAGACAAAGGTTTTGAGAGGCTTTGGATCAGGAGTGTGGTCCGCCAAATAGAGATGATGTACTGTAAACAGTGTTGTTTCACTACCCTGGACTGACCCGTTGGCGGAAGCGGCCATGTATTTGCGATGGAGGACACAGCGGAAACCCACTCGTGGTGTTTCGGGAGGCTTCCTGCCGCCCATCATATCTTATGGGCTTCGACATGCCAAGGTTCATGCGAGGTTCTAGCTTCCCACGCAGACTATTGGATCAACTTGTGCACCATATAAAACACAAAACATGGACATGGACATAGACAATGCCTTTCTACGGATCCACCTTAAGGATCCTTAAGGCAATTATGGTGCAGAAGTCTGGCAATATATTGATGACACATGCAACTGAAAACCTTTTGAAGCACGAACAATCACGAACTGCCACCACCTGATACACAACAGCAAGCCTGAAGCTTACCAGCTTGCAGACACCGGCCAGCGGTGTCCCGTCCCGTGTGGCCGCGGCGTCCAGGACCTATGCCAAAGAGGTGCCAAAGCGGAGGATGAAGCTTGGGGCCCAGAGGGAGGTGGTCTTCTTGGAGATCAGAACTGAATGAGAGCCTTGAGGATGTTGCAAGAAGAGTCTATGTTGTAAATCATAGACTGCCACAGGCACACAAAGTGAACACAGTCATTGCTTCCGAAGGAAGCACATCTGAAATGTCAGTCTGGCAACTCTACACTATGCATGGACCTGTCTATAGGACACTCCTAATGGACGTTCTTGATGAATTTGATTCTTCATCAGCACGGCACAATGATGGCATATGATGTTTATACACTCTCAAAAGGAACAAACACTGAGGTCCTGTCTCTTCATCGATGCTGTGAACTGTGGGGAGTTCATTCTCTCAGAGGGGCCTCTCTACCAGGTGCCCACTGACTCGAGACCCTGTGACCCTTGTGGGAACCAAGCAATTGGAATCAATTGAATGATGTGTCCCTTTTTGGAGGGTATTGTAGGTCCATCAGTTTCTGGCACTGCAATGCCACAGCAAACATGATTGAGACTGAGACTTGTCTTTGTGAAGTTGTGTGGGCTCAGTTTTTCAATCAATCAAGCCTCCAATGACTTGGTTGGGAAACATGGAATGAGGGAGGATCGGGCCTCAGCGCCTCATTCTGTGAATGGATCAAGACCTCAATGGATCAGCGACAAACAACGGTCCGCCAAGCGCAACGAGAGTGCTGCAGAGGTGTGTTTCCTAGTTTTGCTTAGGGCTTAGGGTGATTGTCAACGATTAGTCATACAATGTTATATATCTATATTTGGTTGTTTTCCCTGTGGGTGAGCCCTCTTCTCAAACATATTCTTACAAATTTCCAGTTCCTTAAGCAAATCCAAGGTGTTCTTTTTCTTTTGGATTGTACAAGGCTTATGGTGGGTTTTGATCCACCGCCATGCTCCGACGGCTGATGGTGACCAGCCAGGTGCGTCTGCAGCAGGTGACGGTGGTGAACGATCGGCACGCGTTGGCTGCGCATGAGTATTGGTGTCGTGGATAAAGTTATCGTGCTGCAGATGAAAGAGAGACGAAAGGAACACGTGAAACAAAAGATAGAATATGTTCATGGCTTTACTATGTGTTTCCTGTTCTATCCGTTGAAAAGGCCTAGCACGACAGGAGTGGACCTGTTTGCACAGAGCAACATGTAGTGCATCCTGTGACCTTTGGGGATCCTTTGGGGCTTGACATGTCGAACATCGACCTTCGCTACGATCGGATTCTGAGTCGCAGAGAAGTATGGCTGCGCATGGTGACGTGCGACTGTGAAGCTTATGGATGGTCGCCCCCGACCCTGGAGGTTTAGAAGGGCTTGGCTGGCTGAAAGCACTTTTTTGAGGAACTGTGATGTTCCTTGGGGAAATATGGGGCTGCTGCCAAGTTTGCGCTAATTGTCAATCTCTGGTTGTATATGTTTCTTGACTTCAGCGAAGTCATGTCCTGTTCTATCGTCGGATCCTTTTTTCCCACTCCGGTCCGCCTGCCCCAGCTTCACTACATGATCCAGAAACATGTCCGCACGCATCCTTCAATGCAACGCCTGAAAAAAACCGCTTAGCCCCCGCAGCTTGGATCCTCATGTTTTGGGATCCATTCCGGAGAACCTCCTAAGGCACCGGAGAACGGGCAGTTCTTGGATCGATCCCGTGTGGATGGACGATGCGTCGTCCCTCGGTGCTCGTTTCCGAGCCGGGGAGGTTCATCCGTTGGCTTTTACCCTAGACATGGAGAATGGGGCCGATTTTTCTTCGATGTCATTGGTTTTAAAGAGATTTAAAGAGTGCTTCCATGTCATATGTGAGCTATTGTGAGCTGATAGCACTTTGATACTACAAATTAGGACAAGTTCTTTTGAAGGGTGTTTGTCCTGCTATTTCATTTGGTTGTCATGCTTTGTACCGGTGCCGCAGGGTTTTGTTCCTCCCAACAGCTTTAGCAAGAAAGGAGTTTCTTCAACAGGTGACCAAGAGACTGGTGAAGAAAAGTTGGACTTCCTCCAACGCATAAAGGTCGTCAGTGTTTCCTCCTCCAAATGGGTGTGTATTTGAAGAACGGAGTATCCCCCCTGGCCCAATGTGTTTTCGTAGTCTTCCAAATTAGAAGGGCACGGAACCGTTTGACATCTTTTGACGATGATTCAAATACCGAGTTTCTGTTGGTAGGCGCTTCCTTCTGCCACACATCCCAAGCGATAAGCTACAACGAGGCAGCTTCGTTGCAAAACCGCAGGGTGAACGGGTGCTCAAGAGATTTGGCTCAAATGCGGGCCGTGCCGGAGCTCATGAGCAGCGCCATGAAGCTTAGCTGGATTTCGACGGTTCGATTTGAGGCTCCCTCACTTGGGTTGAAATGGGATGTGCCCAATGTGCCCAATGTGCTGCCCTCGGGACTCCTGTCTCAAAACCCAATCAGGATACACCATCACTTGGGGCTTGTTGCAACAATGCTTTGATCAGCAATAGGATGTTTGTTGCTTCAATATGTCCATCCGCTTCAACCAAAAAGCTCGAACTTCATTCTTCATTCAGGCTCACTATATGGGATTGGACTGGTGAGAAACCACGTCGTCGGTTCGGGGCACATGCCCATAGTTGCTCATATTTTGCACATAATTATGTTGATGTTCTATTTGACCTCGTACATGTTCCTTCTTTCTTTAATCCCAATTGATCAGATGATTTTGTTGATTGGCTCGGCCAAGGAAGCTCGTGGTGTTCTTGCTCTGGGTGGTGGCGGGCAAAGAGAACTGCTCCAATACCGGCCTCACATTAGTCCAAAAGCGGCAAGTGAGCACAAAGCTCCAGCCAAAAGCTGCTCGATGACTTGGCATTCCTTTAAATACTGGGTCTGCCTCAGAGTGAATTAAAACAAAACATGAAACCGAGGTGTTGTGGGACTCATTCTGAGACACACCGGGGTTAGGGCACACAAATAGACGAGCAAGGTGATAGAGTCTATCAGATAGACCATCCCTGTCAAGTCAACTGTTGCTGTTTTCTTTTTGCCCATGTAAAAGCGCTCTTTCAACCCACCGCTTCTCAGATCAGCTTTCACGTGACGTTCCTCCCTTGCTGAGGGAGGACTTGGGACTGTGGCCTGAGTGAGTGGTACAAACCTACCTTGTGCAGGATCCATTGTTCATATAACACTAACAGTCACTAACATCAACAAGAGGGAGGTCACAGTGACTGTCAACTGTTCATTGAAGATGCTGTGTTTTTTTTTTTTCACCTACAACATCTCTCGCACAGAACCCCCATCTGCCTGGGTGGACCGAGGGATTCCGACATGTTGGTATACAAATTCGGTCAAAAGATCAGAACTGACCGTGGAAAACCGCCGCAATGTGGTTCCAGACTCCGGATTCTGCACGTTTGGTCCCGGAGTGTGAGTTCATCCACCGACTTCGTTTATCTGAGTTCATCCGATCTCATCCTGTGACCCGTGCACAAGCACTCCCTTCGATGGGTCTCCATCGGCAGCATCTTCTGTCTGCCGCGAGCAGCAGAATTCCTGTTCCGGTGGCACGTTCTTTCGACCTTCATTGAGATAGATTGACATTGGTGTATATCCAACGTGCACATCCACTGTGTGTATAGTTGGACCACCTGACTGATTCTTCACCAAAATCACTTGCAACCCAACTGAGCCACTGGGCCGGTGCGACCGGGACGCCAGACCACCCAGGCTCCGGGACGAGCCGTGCCGGTCCCCATCCAGCTGAATG